GGTCCTCGCGCTCACGGGTGGGTCGCTTCCGGGTTCCTCTGGAAGGAAAAGAAAGGCTTTGTAAGGCCCCGCCTGGCCAACCTTGATTTTTATTTTTATTTTTTTTAAGGACTGGTGGTGGGTTTCAAAGCCTTCTGGTCACGTTGTCCTCTCGGTAACTTGAAGGGAAGAGAGAAGCTGCTGAACGAGGCTTCCTTGGGATGAAGGACCACTAGATTCTAGGAAGAGTGCAGAGAAGAGCAACCAGGATGATTAGGGGATTGGAGGGGCTAAAACATATGAAGAACGGTTGCAGGAATTGGGCCTGGCTAATCTAGGGAAGAGAAGGATCAGGGGAGACAGGATAACAGGCTTCCAATATTTGAGGGGCTGCCCCAGAGAGGAAGGGTTCAAGCTATTTTCCAAGGCACCCCAAGGCCAGACAAGGAATAATGGATGGAAACTGATCAAGGAGAGATTCAACCTGGAAATAAGGAGAATTTTTCTGACAGTGAGAGCAAATCAATCCTTGGAACAGAAGTTGCCTTCGGAAGTTGTGGGAGCTTCATCACTTGAGACCTTCAAGAAGAGACTGGACTGTCATCTGTCAGAAATGGTGTAGGGTCTCCTGTTTTGGGCAGGGGGTTGGACTAGAAGATCTCCAAGGTCCCTTCCAATTCTATTATTCTTTATTCTGGAGCTCAGTGGAGCAGAGTATAATATAATATCTGTAGATCTATAAAGCCTTAGTAAGACCACACTTAGAATACTGCATCCAGTTTTGGTCACCACACTATAAAAAAGATGTTGAGACTCTAGAAGAAGTGCAAAGAGCAACCAGGATGATGAAGGGACTGGAGACTAAAACATACGAAGAACAGTTGCAGGAACTGGGCCTGGCTAGTCTAGTGAAGAGAAGGACCAGGGGAGACAGGATGGCAGTCTTCCAATATTTGAGGGGCTGCCACAGAGAGGAAAGGGTCGTGCTATTCTCCAAGGCATCCGAAGGCGAGACAAGGAAGAATGGATGCAAACTGAACAAGGAGAGATTTAATCTGGAAATAAGGAGAAAATTTCTGAGAACAATCAACCCATGGGACAGAAGTTGCCTTTGGAAGTTGTGGGAGGTTCATCCCTGGAGGCTTTCAAGAAGAGACTGGACTTCCATTTGTCAGAAATGGTGTAAAGTCTCCTGCTTGGGCAGGGGGTTGGACTAGATGACCTACAAGGTCCCTTCCAACTCTGTTAATCTGTTAATCTCTTGCTAGGTGAAGTATTTTAAATACTGTAATGCGGTCTTAGTAGGTAATTGACATAAAGCCTCCTGACTTGTCAGACCAACCTGTCAGGAGTTGGACCAGAAAACTTCTTCTAGTCCAAAGAGAATTGGGGACTAAAACACACAATGAACAGTTGCAGTAACTGGGCACGGCTAGTCTAGGAAAGAGAAGGACCAGGGGAGACATGATAGTAGTCTTCCAGTATTTGAGGGGCTGCCACAGAGAGGAGGGAGGTCAAGCTATTCTCCAGGGCACCTGAAGGCCAGACAAGGAATAATAGATGGAAACTGAACAAGGAGAGATTCAACCTGGAAATGAGGAGGAATTTTCTGACAGTGAGAA